CAAAACCCGGAAGACACTTAACAGGACTCATATTTAGAGGGCTGTGGGGGGCTGAACGAAATAATGCAGATCTCAGCGCAGTGCCTGCACCTGGCAGGGCCGCCAGCAGTGTGAGAACCTGGCACGGTGCCTGGTACACAGTGGGCACTCAGCATATGATGGCTGCCTAGGGCAGGGCAGGACAGTCTAACCCAGGGCCCCATGAGAACCACTTCAGCTCAACGCCATGACGGTTAAAAGGGTCCAGAAAGTCACCAACTGGAACTGGACAGTGTGGGAAGAGGGCTCAGCAATATATGGCCTGGCGTTTCTTTAGTATGGGGGTTGGCGGCAGCATTCTTGGCCTATGAGGCGTCCTCTCAAGCTCCCTCAGGGGACCTGCATAGATGACATGGTATGTAAATAAGGCCCATGATGCTCTGTAACACGATTTGCTGACGGTAATGAGCATTTTCTGTTCCCTGGGCTCCCTGCCTGCCACTGGTGGCCATTTGGAAAAAAATATATAAACACAACAAGATAAACACTGACTTATCTTCCACAAAGTTAACTACAGCAGTGATTTAGACAAACATCCCAGGTCTTCACTTATCCCGGGTGCTGTCCTGCCCAGGAGTCATCCTTAGGAGCCAGTCTTAGCATTTACAATGTTCAGCTGTACGTATGTCAGTTACAAAGAACCGCAGGCCACTCAGACTTCATGGGGCAGGCCTGGCCCCCTCTCCTAAGGGCCTCTGGGGACAAACGCAGCAGGTGAGATGACAGGGTCCCTGTCTTGGTTAGTGTCTTCAGGGCCCTTAAGGATCAGCCTGGGGCTGATGTGGGTGGCATGTGTGGGCAGACCACATGTCACTAGTTCCTGTCCTTGTCACTCTTGACTCTGGCCTGGGTGATGGCGTGAAGTGCAAGGGTCCAGCACGTGGCGCGCCCTGTCTCCAGACAGGGGCAGGGCCCAGAAAAGCATGCTCCAGGATGCACCAGGGGCCACTGAGGCACATGGTTTGATGGTAAGATCACAGGGCTGGTGCTTTGATCTTTTGCACCCTCTAGTGGTCTGTGAAGGGAGCGGCCTCAAATCTGGCAACTTTTCAAGCACTTTCACTTGGCCCTTGCTGGATCGCACCCTGCCCTCTCTTTTTTTAATTATCAGTGTTTTTTTGTTTGTCTGAGCTACCTGGCTGGCCAGGGCTTTGTCCTCTGTTTCTTCATAGAAACAAAAGCTGTATGTCATTGCATGTGCAGTGACCGAATTGTTTCTACGTGTCCTCTAAGCAGGACTGAAGTGGACTTGTTTTCCTCAAGAACTTCAGGTAAGTCCTGTCATGATGGCACGTGCAGCCACACATGTGCTCGCACATACAGATCGCGCAGCCGCTGGGTGTACAGCATACACACCATGACTGTATTTTCATGACAACCAAGGTCTGTCATTACTGATCAAGGACGTCCTTTGAAGTTTAAACTTATACACAGACACATAAACTTATACTTATACACAGAGCCACGGGCATGCCAGAGCCTGGATTTTCCCAGCACTGCAGGGGTACTGGGGCTGTGACTGGGCTCCCCTCACCCCCAAGGAGGAGGATATGGCTTTGCTGATCCTGAGTTTGGCTCACAAATCAGGAGGGGGCTGGTGCCTATAAACACGGCCTCCGGGAAGTGCACATAGGTCCCGGGCACATTCTCCTGGACCTCATGCCCCTGAAAGCCGTCTCACCCCAGTTTCCTCCAATTGCTAAGGATCTACCAAGGGACAGGCACAGTGCTAGGCTTTGCAAGGGACTGGCGACCTCCTCCTAGCTAATTGCAGAACTAATGCAAAGGGAGAGATGACTGTCACCCTGGCTGCCACATATCGGGCGCTTTTTAAGTGCCACTACCCACTTGTGTGTGTGATCTCATAAATTCTTGCCTCAAGTTGGGGTCATTTTCAAGACGAGAAGACTGAGGCACACAGATTGAGCGACAAGGGGTGGAGCTGGGATTTGACTTGGCTGTTGGTGAAGCAGTGATCAAATTACCCGGTACCTCGGCCCAAGAACGAGGAGTTGGAGGTAAATACCAAGTCCCCGCAGGGCTAGGAAGCACAAGCAGAGAAGCGTTGAAAGGATGCCAGGCTTCAAACGAGAAAAGCCAAGTGCTTTGTAAAAGCTTTTAGATACAGGAAGATTCTTGGGGAAACTACTATTGAAAAAAATCAAATGCAGCTCCATGACCTTCTGGAAAAGGCAACACTGAGGAGACAGGAAAAAGGTCAGTGGCTGCCAGGGGCTCACGGGGAGGAGGGAGAAAAGGGGAGCACAGAGGGTTTTAGGGTTCTGAAACTGTTCAGTATGATGCTGTAATTGTGGATACACGTCATTAAAATTTTTTCCAAACCACCACGAGGGAACCCTCTCGTTGACAGGTGAGGAGGATCATGGCCCACGGCCAGCCCAGGCTTTAACTTTTTTCCTAAAATATATTTTTATTGATTTCAAAGAGGAAGGGAGAGGAGAGACAGAAACATCAATGTGAGAGAGAATCATTGATCGGCTGCCTCCTGCACCTCCCCGCTTCTCTCCCCCGGGAATTGAACTGTGGCCTCCGGGTGGATTGGGTAAATTTTTAATAGGTCGATCGCAACCACTGAGCCACATCAGCCAGGAACTTTGCTCCTCGATACTTGGTCCCAGACTCCCAGTGGCATCACCGGGAAGCTTGTTAGAAATGCAGAATCTTGGGCCCTACCCGGACCTACTGAATCAGTCTGCTCTTCAACATCCCAGGTCATATTCATGTTTGAGAAGCACTGACTTAGAAGACGTTCAAAACAGGGGATATGGTAGTGACTGAAGTATATAGTACATTCCAGCTATGGACTATCTATGAAGTTATATGGAACATGAAAATGAAAAAAAAAACTAACAAAAAACCCAAACGAGGGACCCTAAAAGTTGGCAGTGGCTGCGTTTGGATGGTAAGATTACAGGTGACTTTCCCTCTTAGCTGTTTTCCTAATGCTTTTTGAAGGGCACTCTGTAAGATTAGGAGATAAAAGGGTAAAACTCCAAGCATAAGAAGTAGGATGTGAGCCTGGCTGGTGTGGCTCAGTGGATCAGCGTCAACCCAAGAACCAACAGGTCGCTGGTTTGATTCCCGGTCAGGGCACATGCCCAGGTTGGGGCTCGATCCCCAGTAGGGGGCGTGCAGGAGGCAGTCCATCCATGATGTTTCTTTCATTGATGTTTCTATCTCTCTATCCTTCTCCCTTCCCCTCTCTCTAAAAATCAACAAAAACATTAAAAAAAAAAAAAAGTGGGATGTGAGGGGAGGGGCATTTGTGTGAGGAAAGAGACCCATGAGGGTGTGCTGGGCATGGGGGCTGTCAGAAGGGCTGGGGAAGATGTGCCTAATTCCATGCATATACTTTTAAGCAGTTTATCCAACATTTGGAAAAGCACTCAGGCCTTGGAGGAAGCTATCCCAGGAGGTACTTTGGATTTCTTAGCTGCCACGGCTTCCTCAGGCTCTCTTCCAAAAGGACAGGTGTGAAGGAAGGAAGGAAGGAAGGAAGGAAGGAAGGAAGGAAGGAAGGAAGGGCTGGGGGAGGGTCAGGAAGCATTCCTGTTGGAGCTTCCTAGCCTTGCAGTGACATCTGCCCAGGGCTTGGCAAAACAAGGAGGTTGGGCT